AACCTTATTTAAGTTGCCACTGATGCTCTTTTGTGTACGTGTTCCAATACAGATACATGTTCAGTCATTGGTACATTTACCTTAATGCTTCGTTATATACAAAAATGAACATCGTAAAAGTCATATAAAAGAAAGTCAGAGGGAACATTTTCTTACGTACATTTTATTGTACATATTTTACAAAATTACATTTCGGTGAGATCTACGTCAAAATATTTTCTCGACCACTAAGCCGCTTGACCATGTTCAAGTTCATGTTTTAACAGTTAATGATTTCAGCTGAACATTGTGTAATTATCACGCGCGATTATCACTTACGCTGCATCTTCTCATTGTGACATTTCAAATTAATGCCGTAATTGACTACAGATATCGTCAGATATTATTATCTACGACATCGATCGGCAAGAGATACAGAATCTCTCTCACACATTGTATTACTTCTTTTTAACGCTTCAAAACGTAGACTTAACGTAGACAGGAACATTAATTATTTCCGAAGTAACGCTGCTCGATCTCCTCGTTGAAGTGTCATCCAGTTCTATCGCAATAAGGACACACGTATATGCGCAGTGTCGTGTACAAAATATCTCCTCTCTCCCCTTCCGCCGCCTCTGTGCTATTATTGTCTGCACGTTCGCCATTCTAACTTACGCTGTTTCGGGCTACGGATAAAGTTTAAACGGCTACGCTTGTCTTTAGGTGTATCACATCGAGGGCATACGATGATTTGCAATCCGGCGATCGAGTGGCAGCATTCGTTCTCTCCTCTCTGCTGATATTCTTGTATCCCTTCTCAAAAGTTTTTCACAAGTAAGCGAGAGTAAAGTGGTTTAAAATATATCGGTCTTTTTTGTCTCATTTTTATTTGCAAAAATTGGCTTTGTATATACAGGGGGATTTTTATAAGTTTCCTTCAACTTTTTATACACATATAAAATACTTTACACATTCGCCCTCGGATTGCATATTTATTGTCTGCGTATTTTTATAGCACGTTTCCTCATAATATGATCGATTGTGCTCGTCAGAAGTCAGAACTAATAAATGTACAATAATAAAAAAAAGAGAAGAAATATACTTCTTGTGTATTTTTACTTATTTTTATATAAAACAAAGCAAACAACGATCACTATATGACGCTACGAGCAATAGAAGTTTTTAAAATACTCGATTCTGTATAACACGCCAAAACGTAAACGCGTATTGCTCCAAGAATTTATGTTCGCAAAAAAGCTCGCGAGCGCATTTTACTTTCTTTTTTTTTTTACACATTTTATCTCGTTTTATCGTGTGACGAAACTCATAAAGCGACTAACCGCGAGATGAAAATGATTCGACGGTAAATCTCAGATGAATTCATGCACTGTTAAATCACGCGAGCACAACACGTCGTGATCCTTTTGTTCTTTTTCTTTTTACTCGTGTAAGTGCACTGTGCTATCTTAATCGGATCGACTTGAACGCAGTTCGCGAGAAGACACGCGCGCCGAAGAAGCGGGACGTTCTGTCGGTGGAATCGGAATGCCTGCCGTCTCTGGTGAAAAATTCTCTTAATACTTCAAAATATTTCTGAGGATTTTTCATATTTTAAATTTATAAAGAATTCTGAAAAATATTTTAGGCTTCTCCAGATTTTATAAGATTTCTTCGGAAATTATTGAATGCGAGAAATCTTAAAATATTTCAGAATTCACATATATTCTACAAGAGATGACTTTCTCAGTCATTGAAAAGTATTCTAAAAAAACCTAATAAAGTTTCTACAAAATAATTTAGAAATTCTGATATTTATATAGAAATTACTGAAAAATTATACTAAACTTATGCTGAAGAATTCTGAGACAAATTTTCACCAGAGATTGTCACGACGATTTCAGGCAACGTCGTAAAAGCGATAATACTGAACGTGTGTGGGCCGAAAGGCGATGTCGACTTGGACGTGAATCCCTCTCCCCCATCGCGGAGACTAAATATTAGTCTCCGACGCGACGCCTATAATATATACGTTAGCGTACGTAAAACACGTACGTTACATACACGGTTAATATGTACACGGAAATGTAACGACGTCCTCTTTCGTTCCTTTCTTCTCCTTTCTTTACGAAATACCTTAAATTACAATACTATACAGCGTATCGTCCGCATGAGCCGCGACAGGCGCACCGAGCGAAATTAATATATCGACCGAAGTATCGCTTGGAGCCTCATCACTGAACACAAAAGCGTTGTACTACGTGTTGCAATCGTGTCGGGGGGGGGGGGATGCGAATTAAATCGTTCACATTCGACGTCAGAGATATAATCGTCGACGGGACGAACGACTAACTCGTAAATGCATTCGACTTTCAAATACCGCCCACTCGTGGTCTTCCCCTTCGAAAGCGATGCTATTCACGTCACAATTTCGCCCAAGGCTCCATCCTTGCGCGCCCTTCGCGCGGACCTTCCAATCTCGGCTAACGACACCTCGATACAGTCGATCGAGTGGAATTCGTGAATTTCTTAACAACTGCGCACTCGTCTCTATGGTCAGTTTAATTTAGACGCTAAAGCTGCATTCATCGCGTTCGCATACTAATTTTTTTCCGCGAAATCTTCAGAATCCGTTTGAACTTATATGGAAAAAAAATTCATTTGCTAAGTGATAATGCTAGCGAGTGTATTTTTATCCGTTCTGTCGCGCGAGATTCTGCTCGCTCTCGTACTCACGACGATTCACATCACATCGGCTCGATTTCTATAGCCCGACAATGCACTCTATCTTTTGAGCGATTATTATCCAGAACCGAAAGATGTTTCGCATACTAATGAATAATTCAGAAGGTTAAAAAAATCTTGGAATTAATTATTTGCGCGAGAGGAAGACACCGAATTCCGATTAAACCACACCGCAAGAAGTTAAAAGTAGGACTTGAATGCGGCGCAGGTATGTTTCAGGGTTCGAGTAAATCTCCGAGAGCTCTGCTCCAAAGCTTCCAAAAATAGGTCGTGTGGCAGCTTCTAAATACCTATCTAAATTTCGTCGTATACGAAGGCAACTATTCGAAGACACATACGCGTTGGTATTACGACTACACGTGCTTTTTAATTACGCGCGCTCCGTGGAAGAGCCAGAATTCTTGCTGTGAGCCCAAGGATAAACTACGGAGAGTTAAATTGCTATCGCAGTTCCCGCAATTATGATTTAATATGTAACTTCGTAAATTATATATGTCTCTAACCGAAAAATATGATAATCTCTCTAAAATTTTTTACTCGCAATACATCGAAAAATTATGCTTTTAGAATTTTGAAATTCTTAAGTTTCGAGACTAGCAAATCTTAGGCTTTGCGTCACGCATTCAAGAGATATATCTCGATATATCTCAGATATATATTGTCAAAGAAATCCACAAAATTATCGCCGTTGCTTGGTAAACTTGTTAATTAAATGTCTCCATCGGCCGTGTTCTCGAAGAAATTAATTCTCGAGCTTTAGGCTTGAATTCCGGAGATAGGATTGTCCGGAGAAATTCCAATGTTTCGTTAAAATACAATCGCAATTTCTAGATAATCGACGAATTAATTTGCCACGTGCTATCGACCTCGTATTATCTTCTGATATATTAATAGCTAATTAAAACCTGAGTACGCGCCCGCTCGACTTGACAAGGTACTAACAATCGGCCACTTGTATATTGCGTTCGTAAAAAGTTTATGAATCATTTAAGCATCGAGGCGTTCGCATCAATAATGGAAATAATTCGACCGGTTTTCATAAACAATCGGCCTCGATACCTGATGGCCTTTTAATTAATTCCTGGCGAACGCAGGATATAAGTGATGAATTATTAATGCTCTGCCAAGTAATGCCAATGCGACCGTCCGTCCGTGGGACTCGTCGGCGGACTGGCAGATCGACGATTTGGATTTGGTGGAAATATACTTTCAGACGACCACAGCCTCGTAGGAATGCCCTTTCGGTCCGACAGCTCTTGCGCGTCCCGCCCGTCAGAGAGAACGCTATAATTTGCGACTTCCTGTAAAAGAAAAATGCAACACGCCTCGTTCGAGTATTCATTGAGTTGTTCCGTCGCGCACGCAATAAACCGATATTTCAATCATTATGACTTATGGAAGTTCATAAAAAAACGAGATAAATAGAAAAAGAGGTAGATTAGAAACGAGATAGATAGAACCGTTAGGTAAAAATTATATCGTCGCATAAATCTTCCCGACGTAATTGATTTTTAATGTCGTTATAATGGAATTAATATTACGGTATTTTTAGAAAGGTAATTTTAACGGTGCATGCAAACAGTAAAAACTAGCATGTCAAAATTGTCGCGATTGCCATCGGTCGCGCTCGTGGTCACGCAAAAAAATTATTACCTTATTACGGTCAGGGCGCGTCGAAATCTTGATCTCCGACCAGGTACAGAAATTGGAAGGCAATCGCCAGCAGGCTGATCCCGAGCAGATCACCCATCGCGGTCAGATACGGGATCGCCGAGTTGTCGGGATCAATTTTCCGCTTCCACATCCAGTGAATCATTATGTAGGCGATGTAGAGGAGCGCCGCGACCTGCAGCATCGCCGCGCAGAGGTAAACGAAGACGAAGAGCGGCGTCATCGTCGTGTTACCATCCTTCATGTAATTGATCAGGTAAATGAAGATGATGTGGCCTGGTATCACCATCGTCATCAGTACTCTCGTGGTTCTGGCGTGCATACCTGAGAAGACGAGACACAAAGAAAAATCCTGAATCACTGGGAATCTTGATTTTCAAAAGAAAAAAGAAAAAAAAACGAAAGAGGATACCTTTCCCGAAAAAATTGGCAATTGGAGTGATGAAGATGACGGGGTGCGTGTAGCCCGGTGGGATTAGAAGCGTGCCGAGTTCGGCTTGTTTGTGAAGCGCCGTCGATATCCTGCTGGCCTGAACAGCAACCAGGTTCCCGCCGACGCCGTTGATGACCGGCTGAAACACCGTCAGATTCTCGAAGCGCGACACCATGAACTCCAGTATGAGACCGCCGCAGCTGTGAAAAATTTCGCGTTTGTAGATTCTTCTTTACTTCGAGCCGTATTCGAAATATAATTTAATAAAGATCTAATAATAATCTTTAATCGACCATCAGTAATTAATTATTCACTGCCAGGCATCGAGAAATTCTTTCTCCTTACCTGCTGATCAACATGGCCACCATGACCGGCGTCCAGCCAAAGTAGAGCACATCGTTGGTGTACTTGTTCTTCTTGGCGATCCACACCCAGAGCGGCGTCACGAGGACGTAACAGGCTATGACGAGGGGTGCCACCCAGTCCTGCTTGTCTATGCATTCGTAGAGTACGGTGGCGATCCAGGAGAGGAGCGCCAGCGACGTGATGTCGCCGAGGCTGGCGGCTATCGGTGTGGCCACGTTGTCCGGATTGATATGGCAATGACGGGAGAAGACGATGACGCCCGCGGTAATAAGGCCCAGTACGAAGGAGGCGAGAGACGCGGTAACCAGGCTGCTGGCGCACAGTAGGTAGGCATGATCCAGCGAGACCGTGCCGTTGCGGAAGGCACCCATCACGATCGCCACCACGGAACCCAGGAATCCCACCACTATCGCTTGACACTGCGCACGATTAGGGTGACTTTTAGCCCCAAGCGTAATGGACCTCTCGATAAAAACTTGATGGCTGAAGAGAAATTAAATCCCCTCGCTTGTTTCCTCAATTTTTCTTGATTACAGTTATTGCAATATTATTTCGAAAATCGATAAAGAAAACCTAACTTCTTAACGATTTTCAATTTAATTGCATCAATAAATATTTATTTATAATAGATATTTTGCAAGATACTTTTAATGCCAGGAAAAAATTGAAAGAACAGCCAGCCACAAGCTAAAGAAAAACTTTAATAATTCTGGGAATCTTATAATCTACATTGTAGTAGCGCGCATAATTGTAATAAATTGTAGTAACATCGTTGATTTTTTGCGCAATTGGCAGAAGTCTTTTTCTAAATTTTATTCGAAGATTTTAATTCTAAAATGTACATTTTATAATTGCAAATTTATTGGTACGGCCATTTAACTGCGGCGATTCTTTTGTATATTTGGAGAATCGCGTTTTTAATTTTTACCATCAAAAATTTCAAACTCTGCTGTTATACTATATATAATAGATATTGACTCGTTGAAGCATACGTGTCGTTTATCGCGCGGCGTGTCTCGTGAGGTAACCAGCTCACGCTTGCACATATACGAGGGAGATCGCACGGCAAACAGTCGGCTTCCCGAAGGCCGTCGTCTATCATCGTCAGCGTTGAACACATAATAAAATAAAATCGTGGCGCCAACGATAAGACGGGCGATGCGCGCGCGTATAGCTCCGATATATTCGCTAAATCGAACAGGCTAGGAGAAACGTTCGCTTTCCCGGAATTGTGTCATCGGCTCATTTCACAATTAGCCGCTAATCACGGGTCAAATTGCCCGCGTCGTTTCGCGGTATTCTCTGCCAATTTACGATTTCCAGGATGTATCGACAATGATGTCGACAATGATAGCAGTAGATTTGTCGGGATTCGCGGATTACAGCAATTTTTCATCAATCATCGCCGCTGGAAATGCGGTTGAACTTGAATTCAAAAAACACCCAATTTTATGGATATATTTACTCTATGATAAGAATGCTAGAGAAAGAAAGAGAGAAAGAGAGTGAGAGAGATAAGGAGCCGGGTGATTAATAGCGCAAATTTTTCCGTGCGTTGCGTCGCATAGTTGTTGGGTATTAGAGGAGTCGAGAAGTCGGGTAGACCGACCTCAGACTGTCTCGCACAAGAGAGGTTCCAGAAGGAAAAAAAATACGTGGCGCCGAAGCGAGCCAATACGGCGTTTCGCAATGTATTCGAACGGAATTAAGTTAGGAGTCCCCTCGTACGACAAACGGCAAATATCGGTTTAATTGTGGAACATCTAGTTAGAACCAGTTTCGCGAAAGTAAACTCCCGTGCGGCTGAACGAGGCACCGCGGTTTGCTCTGAGACTTTATAGGTGCCAGAATGACGCGGCGTCTGACACATCTGTCGACAACCCTTGTGTTATTTCGCGCGGCTACACTTTGAAGGCTTGCGAAATAGACGACAAATCGCATTCGTGTCGATTATCGGGGAAAAGACTTGTGAGTCTCAATCGTCTCGGAAGAATTAGTCCCACTCTTCAGTTACTTACTTGTATTAAGACGAGATTCCCGACGATCATGTGCCATTGTTCCTTTGGCAAGTCCATGTGTCCGAGATTCGCTTGAGTAGAAAGACGCGACGCCAGAGTCATTTCTAGATTTCCCTTCAGCCCCAGGAGTGCCGGTACCAGAATCATAAGCTCGTTGACTTTTTCAAACACTACCCAGTGCTGCAAGAAAATACGAAAATACAAATATGTAGAATCAGTGCTATCAAGATCATATTAATTTAAAGTCGACGTGAAACTCTTAATTAATTGGATGTATCAAATAAATGGATCTAAATATTGAATTTTGCAATTAATTTTAGGCAAATTCTTTGATTAATATTATGTCTTCAAATATTTTATCGTATGCTATTATTTAAAATATTTAGCATTCCAAATTTAAAACATTGACGCCGAGATCAATGTTAAATGAATTAAACGTTCTATTTAAGAATTCAATTGCACGTATCGTCGAATTGCCTGGATGTTTCTGCACATCGTAAGATATTTTCAGAGGGATCATTTACGCGCGAGGTGGTTTGTCGTGATAAAGGTAAAAACGTCGTTCCTACTTGGACAAGATCGAGGACCAATCCGGCGCCCACCATGCCCAGGCCGGCGATGAGAAAGGGTATGAAGACCTGAATGGTAATCGCCAAGTACGACTCGAGCGGCTCGTCCTCGCCGGTCACGCCGTAGATTTTGCTCTCGGCGACGACGTCCGGCAGCCGGCCGCCGTCGACGCCCTCGTCGAAGATGGTAACCTCGAGGCAGTCGTCGGCGGCGTGTCCACCGATGGTGGGACTCGCTGTTGTCGCCTGTCCATTGGTGGTCGTGGTGACGCTGGCCGTGCTGGTCGTGGTGGTTGTGGTATCTTTCGACTCGGAGGTGGTCCGCGAGCGGCCGTCGGTCGGTGTCATCCTGTGGGAGTTCTGCCTCTCAGGAAGCAGAGGCTCCTTACATTGCTCACTGCCGAAAGAAATAAGGATTCCGCTGGTTAAACGCTTCTTTTTCTTTTCACCACGGATGCCAGAGAGTCTCATGTAACCCTTTGGCTATGGCCGTCAATGGCCGATAAGCTCGAGCCGTCACCGGTTTATCAGTATTTTGTATTGAAATTGCCGAATCCCATTCTGCGATTTGGTAATGAAATGATACATAATTTTGCGATGTTCTATTCGTATCTTGTATTTAGAAATCTTTAAACGCTGATTGATTATTGCTAGTCGAAGAATTAAAATCGTGTGATTATTTTGAAAAAAATTCGCCTTTTTGACGATATAAAATTATAAAGAGAAAAAAAAGTACATTTAAATGATGCGAGATGAATTGATGTCGGATGAATGAAGAGCGCGTGCGTGCAATCTGAGATCATCGTAAATCGCGTACATGCGATTAATCCACGGTTAATTCCGCCACATGATTCTTTTTGTTAATTCGCGATCCCATGCACTGATTTCCATCACTCGCCGTTTTTTTTCGGCGCCCGGACGTCGAGACGCCGCGCCAATTCGCATTTTTCAAACCGACATCTCGGCCAAGTTACTTCTTCTTTTTTTTTTTTACGATCGGAAGATCGAGAGAACTCTTTTCGCACAATACTTTTAAACGTACTTTTCGAATTTGACGCCGGTATTGGCATTCTGGAACGGCTGCGGCTTGTCGGGCGGCACTCGTACCGGATGTTGATGCACCTGGCCCTCTATCATCTTCCTACTGAAGGCTGCGTGATACTCGCTGCCGCGAATATACAGCCATTCTCCTTTGAGAATGATAAGACTCGCGTCGCCGACGACGACGACGACGACGACGGTTATATTTCAGGACACAAATAACGTAAATTACGTAATTATGCCAAGAGCAGCTATCTTTCTCTTTTTTTCTCTCGCTTTCTCTCTCTTTCGCTCGTTGATTAGATTCGTTCAGAAACTGCTGTTAATCACGGTAAAAATCAAGATGTGAATCATCCAGCGACGTGCCGATTGAAGAAAGATGAGCAGCCTCTTCCTGCCTGAGGACCACTGCCAAACAATCGTCATGTTAATCTAATTGCGAGATTAGTAGACCACGTGTAGTACGGATCAACCGGAGTTTCAAAGAACCGCTATTCGAGAAAACTCGCTCTACTACAAGCGCCATCAATTACGCGGTTTTCTAAATTCGAGAAAACTGACACCTTCGAAGCGTAATCACTCTCACAATGTGTCACACGAAGTCGGTATATATAAATACATCGCTAAATTTTCCGCGGACAGATTTTTGATTACCAAACAAACTTTACGTCACTCTAATTTGAAGATTCAGCATTTTCAGCCCCGAGCGTTTTCTGATGTCATTGTAAATTGAATTTAGATTACTTGAGAATCGATCTCTCGCGATTTTACTCTTAAACTGATTTTTATTTTTAAATTAAATTGCCTAGTCTTCGAATCACACCTGCGAAACGATACCCGTGAATGAATAAACGTATCGCCATATGTACGAAGGCACGTCGACTACATGGTTCCGTGATTTTGCGCCGCGTTTATGAGTCTTTATCGCATGTGTCATGCAAATAGTATAACGAATAGACGCGTATCATACACATCACGTGTGCCATTAATTAACACGTAACACGCTCAATTTCCTCCCGCTTGAGTTCCGCCTCGAAAGAAATAATCTGTTTTGCGATAATCTCCACGTAACGCACGTGTGTGTATATCATTACGTAATTAAAGTAATCTGCATGGACATTAATATGTTATTCGCCGCGCTCGCGATCCACATAATTTCCCTCCTTATCTCAATCGAAATCGGATTGATTTTTACGCGAGATCGCCGAGATTTTCGGCCGCGCGTTGTCCGCATTTGAAAACCACGGACGCGCTTCTCGCGAACGAGTACGTCAGCGACGATAACGACATTCAATCGTGCGGTGACCTTACTGCGTGGAAATTAAAACTGCGAGAGCGGCTTGATTAAGGCCAAATCGTACGGCCGTTCGATCAAGCGACGTTGCCTTCGTAATCTTAACTGTAACATCGACACCTTGAGACAGTCAATGTCACGCTGCGACTCAAAGGAGAAGAGGAGATCCTGTATACGCTAAAGTATCACGACTGCACAAACAAGTAGATGCAAATTTTATTTCTACCGAAATTTAGTATTTAATACTCTAGATTGGAGTAACTGTTTTAAAACAGCTGATTTTTCTTCCTTTAGTTCAATTATTCTCTATTCATTATTTCGTGACTCAAAGCTAGATTAGGAATGCGCCGCTTCTTATCGATTCCTACCGACTCCGCTCGATCAGCATCTCGTTTTCTTTTTTTTACAGAGGCAGCGCATTATCTCTCGTCGTCAAACGAAGAGCACGAAAGCGGATTTAATCACAATATAATCGAGATACAACTAGGTCGACGGCTGATCGATAAAGATCAATGTCGAGTCACCCGCGCGACGATCGGGTCGCACGTGCGATCGCACTTTGATATTCATTGTCCGATCAGCTGCCACCTTGCGTCACGCATCGACCGGCCCGAGAGCGGGGTCTGATGGAAACGCACACGTCGCATCGCGCGAATCGCACGAGTTCTCTCGTGACCTTAACCTACGCGCAATCAAGCTCCGCTTCTCGTCGGAGAGCCTCGACGGAGAGCCTCGCGCTTCGGATGCTATATCTGCAGCATCTCGCGTCCTTCGTCCAGCCGCGGTTGTCTGATTCATCGGCGAACAGCACACGTGGCGGGAAAAACGCGCTCCCGAAGACGCGGCTCCGACCTTCGTTTCTCGGCCGCCGACCAGTTCTCTTTTTTTTTCCCCGCGGTTGCCCGACTGTAGAACGGACCTTCGGAAACGTAATAGCGAAAACTTATCAGCAACTACCTGCGTGACCGAGATAACGATATCGGACATATGTTTCGCCTCGTCGAATTGGCTTTAGCAGCGTGCGCGCACGAGGTGACGCCCCGAGGAGAGCGGGCCGCGGGAAGTCAAAAGAGACTTTGGTTCGATACAGCGATTCAATTCACTTTTCTAATCCCTGAAAAATCAGAGCTTATCTCTTTAACATTTTACTTTCAAAAATAATTTTCTTAAAACGTGGATTGTTTAGGGAATTAAATTATTTAATTTTTATTCAATCCTCCTATTATAAACCTCGATCTTGCCGCGCAAGATTTCATTTGCACTTTGCGCGTCAGATGTTACAATTTATTATACTTATGACTTAAAACTCTCAACAACGCGCGAGAATCTATCTAAGCCGGCTGAATACTAGTCCTCGGAAACTCTTTCGCGGAATGAAATGCGATTCGCAAGCCTCGTCTCTAAAATAACCCGCGCTTCCTCGGCCGAAGCGTCACGTTGGACCGGACCGAATTCCGGCTGCTCCGAATGGCTGCTCCCCTTTCGCTCGTACCTGAAGTCCTCAGGCGTGGTCCCAGACGGACCGCCGACGTTTCCCACGAGACCCACCGTCGAGCCGTCCCCTCTGGCCGGGGGGTCACTGATCGCCGGCTTCGTGGCCCCGGTGATCGTCTCTGCGGCGCGAGATCAGCCCACGTCCAGCATCTGATGGTGGTCACCCGGTGCGGCCTGGTGCGAGGCCGTTTCACGCTGCGGTTACATCGCGACTGATCGCGCATCGTGCTCGCGTGCATGCATGCCTCCTTAAAACTAGTTTGGGGACACACGAGAGCCTCCTCTGTCTGTGTGTGCGTGTCGCGTGTGTGTCGGCGGCGCGCCGGAGGGAGCAGGCGCAAGTTTATCGATCCGCCGGCGACTTCACTTCCCAGTCAGACCGTCCGCGAACTCCTCGCGGCCGTAACCGCCACTCCGGGATACCTGTGCGCGCCAATAGCGCACCAACCCCTGGAACCCGTCCGGATAGGTCGTCCGGAAAGGGTCGTCTTTCGCGCTCCCCGAGTCCCGAGACGTGACGTCACTCCTACCCATTGTCATCACCCGGTTGCGTCATCGTTTCGTTTAAACCGCATTGTGTTATCCCAGTAATCTCGCTGCCCCCGCATATCGAGTTTTCCGCCGACGTTCATTTCCAAGAATCGCGAAAAGCCGCCCTCGCTTGAAATCCGTTGATGACGTCGCCTTGGGATCCCCGATCGCGTACGGTTGCGTCTTGCGTCATCGTTTCGACACGTTCGATGCATTGCACTGTGTTATCTATAATACCGGATATTTGTCCTTATTCTTAGTAATCCGGAAGATTTGTCTTTGTGTTCAAAAGCATTCGAGTGCGGCTTTATCTTTCGCGGTGTTGTTACAAGTCGAGTTAAGCTCGGCGCTGATGCGTCGGCTCTATTCGAGTCTATCGGGAGTCTGTAGAGGCATTTCATTTATTTACCAGGCAGAAATTTCTAAAAAACAGTGATGGGTCACGTTCGATATTCTTTCTTGCGTGTGACACACATGCCGGACACACGTGCACCGGCATCGGTTACGTCATCAATCAACAGCTGATGTGCATACGGAAGCTTCATTCATGGATTTACCGCGCATTACGCGCCGAGAGTTGCACAACCACCGTCCGTTTCGCACAATTTTCGCGGCTTACGTACGAACGACTCGCCTTTATGCGCTGTAATTCGATGATAGCAATAATTTACCTCAGCAACAATATTCCGCCACGAGCAATTTTCATTTTGTACGCCGAGCCCATTAGAGCGTTATACCAAGCATAATTACATCGGCCTGGTTATCGATTACGCGTATCCTGCAGATTACGAAGCGACGTTGGACGAATTTTTATCCTCCGTATGTTACAGAAATTCAATCGTGATCTAATCTGCGATAATTAAATACTTGATATCTAAAAAATGATTAGCTTATTTTTTAAAATTACTTCTTTTTCCATCCATCTGTTCTTAATTTTCTTGATTCAAGTTACATAGTTTTACATGTTACATTTTATATCTATTATTTACATATATTTATCTTATAGATTTATTTGTATATCATTAAATAATAATTTTGCATTTAGAAATTGTTATTCCGAGAAATTGTTCCCTTTCTCGATTTCATAAAATCAATTTTGAACGTAGTTCGGAACTAGGCAACGTTTAAATTTCAATATGCGACGATGCATATGGAAATTTTGTTCGACATTATAAATGCCGCGGATCAAGGCCTAGGCATTGTGATGCGAATGCATAAATCGCCCTGCGACGATTATCTGTAGGCCGCGAGCAATAACTTGGTATTGTCAACCCCAGGTAGTGACTTCCGCACGCGCAAGAAAATTGATATCGATTTTCTTCTCTAAATTTACCCGATATTATTCCCGGGGAACAAAGGTAGCCCGTCAAGTACAGCGAGTTACGTAACGACTTTATACGCGATAAACGATGGCTTACGTATCTTCAAGTTTAGGCGCCGTTGAAAAACAGGAGGGACATTACGAAGCGTTATTTAAGATTCGATTTTTCGAAATGTTTTAAGAAAATTGGAATAATTGACTCCGAGAACTCGACCACATCATTTTCGATGCATTCGAAAACTTCTTTTGTGATTGCTGAATCACTGTTTCATATATTTTATTCTGTCCTGAGACACGCGAAGTTATCGCCACGCCATATCTATCCTTCCTTCTAAATTCAATTTTTCATGCGCAGTATCCCGTATTAATTAAAATTACGTGTGTTAACTTGTCGGCCGTGAATGTGATATGATGGGAAAAAAGATGTTATTACGCCGCGATCGATCGCACGATACCCATGCAAACGAGCCGGGAAAAATCAAAGCACCGATTAAATTTGTTATTACGCGAGAATGATGCAATAAATACAATGAAATTACATTGGAAAAAATCTACGCGTCTATGAGTTGAACTGATTCATCCTTTTTTTTCTTCTGTAAAGAACATTACGCGCAGATGTTGTGATCTAAGCGATACCGCGAGTCGAATTTATTGCATCATCTCGCGAGATACATAATTTAATCTTGGTGATTAAAATTATTTTTCCGATGTTATTTAATCTCATTTACACGACTCCCACAGAAGACGCGCAGAAATTGTAATCGATTCAGCGAGCCGCATCTCGTTCAGCGGTAATCCTTATTTAAAGTGGAGCGGAAAAATTCGCTCATAACAGTCAGTCGGTCAATGACGCGCGAATAGGATTCACTGGCCCGTCTATGACCGTATCCTGTGTAGGAGCGAAGCCGTAACGCACACTCCGGCCGTTCGTGACACGGCAATTTGTATTCTGGTAACTTGAGGATTAGGTCACACACTCTCGTGTGTGTATCATATTATAGTCCCGCTTTTCTAATGATTAAACCCCGCTGAAACGCGTGTATTTCCTGTCGTAACGAGCAATTGAGACGTCGCCGCGTCGGAGGCGCGCGGGTCTCGACATTCGCGAACAAACGAGGACGACCGTCGTCGGAGCGAATTGCCAATTAATCAACGTCGAATTATCGGATCGCGAAGCGAAATCGATGGAATTCCTCGAAGGAGAAACACGTTAAAGACACGCAACGACGACGAAGCAATTTACATTTCCATTTACATCTACGTTTGAAAGGCAA